TGAGTTACATTTCTTAGGCCTTGGGTATATGAGATGATGGGGTAAAGTTTTTGAAGAACCATCACATAAAGTCTAGGATGTGTAGTTGCTGGATATTAACTGTCTAGAGAAAACATGGCTGTTGCTGGAATAGAGGGGAGCATTTAGGAGCAAAGCCCCTTGACTTTCAGGAATGGGTCAGAGGAAGGAGGCTAGTGGTGCAGCATCAGGAAGAAGGCAGGATTTTTTTTCCTCTGAAAATACAGTGGATGTGTGGACGATGGATGGAGACAGAAGTGCATTAACATGGCTGGTGGGGGTAAATCAGGAATTCGTATGAGTTTTTTGACTTCAGGAAAAAAGGACATGAAGTCATCTACTGAAGCTGAGTGTAGGATGGAATTTATTTTTACTTATTCATTCATGCATTCATTCAGCCAGCATGTTATGCACCTACCATACACTGGGGTAAGCCTGAGAGACTGACAGACACATAGTTCCAGCTCTAGCCCAGAGCCGCACAGTGGAGGTGTGGACGATGGATGGAGACAGAAGTGCATTAACATGGCTGGTGGGGGTAAATCAGGAATTCGTATGAGTTTTTTGACTTCAGGAAAAAAGGACATGAAGTCATCTACTGAAGCTGAGTGTAGGATGGAATTTATTTTTACTTATTCATTCATGCATTCATTCAGCCAGCATGTTATGCACCTACCATACACTGGGGTAAGCCTGAGAGACTGACAGACACATAGTTCCAGCTCTAGCCCAGAGCCGCTACTACTGTGTGTTTGCAAGGGAATCAAGATAAAGGAACTGAAAGTAGTTCAGAAATAACAGAAGGTGGGCATTGGGAATCAATATTGAACCACCTAGGAACCAGATCCTAATGGGCAAGCTCCTCACCAACAGGAAGGTGGGAGGGATCTGTGGTTGAGGGGCTGATATTGTGGCCACTCTTGGAGGACAAGGTGAGTGGTGAAAGTGACACACTAAGTTCTGACCATAGTACTGAAGCTAGGAAGGAAATCTGGTGTAACAAGAGCTGACGGTTTCACAGACAGTGAAAAGGTGAGGTCTTACAGCCAGGTCTCGGTGCTCTGCCAAGTATGTGGCATTGAGTGAGACTATGCCTAGTAATGAAAGAGGATTTGGCCTCATCCATTCTGAGTATCCTTAGGAAAGTCATTTAGCCTGATCTGACTATCTGAATCAGCCATTGGTATAGAGGCACATTCATCTGTAGCGTGGGCAATTTTGTGTTATCATTTGATAGATCACTCATTCCATGCTATCTGCATCCAGATTTGTCAAAGGCTGTCTGCCTTCTGCACCATCCTAGTATAGGTTCTCTTCCATAGCAACATGAGGAAAGGCAAAAAAATTTTTTTCTGTATTATCTGTACTAGATTGTAACGGAATGTGCATGGGCTTTGGGGACCTGGGTTTGAATACTGGCTCCACTACTTAAAATACTATAGTGAACTTAAGCAAATCACTTTTTCATTCTGAATTTCCCTTTCTCAATCTGTGAAGTATGTTCACTAATGATTGTCTCCCAGGATTGTAGTATGGACTCAGTGAGGTAAACAGAGGTAAAGCAGTTACCATAGTGCCTGGCCTAGCTTGGTACTCATGAAATATTATTGCCTTTTTCTCTCTTTAATTGGGAACAACTACATCATTGCTGTAAAGTTTGAAACCTAGCACAGGTCAGTGGCTGAACTAACACCTGCTTCTTAAAGGCATGGAGGGACCTGCTCTGTCTTCTCAATCTTATATGATGGAGTCATATAAGAGGTCCATCTTCCTTACTTTCTCTGCCTTTGTGGCCTTAGGAACAGGATGCCCCCAACTAACCATATAGCTTAGCTAGTATGTTCAAAACCCTTGGCTGCAAGTGACAGGATCCCAACTCAAACTATCTTAAGTGAAACAAAGGACTTTATTAACTCAGATAACTGGGAACTTTGGGGCTTCAAGCACAGCTAGACCCACAAGGTTCAAATGATGCTCTCCAGACTTTCTCCCCTTCGAATTCTATTTTTCTCCTCATAGTATGGTATCGCCCTATCAAAGTCCCAGATTCATGCCATCCTAGCCTAGAGACTCCAGCATGGGTTGTGGAGTGGGGAGTAAAGGTAGGGAGCAAGGTACTTCTTTCTCCCAGTGTCTAGATCAGGGGTCCTCAAACTTTTTAAACAGGGGGCCAGTTCACTGTCCCTCAGACCGTTGGAGGGCCGGACTATAGTTTAAAAAAAACGATGAACAAATTCCTATGCACACTGCACATATCTTATTTTGAAGTTAAAAAAAACAAAACGGGGACAAACACAATATTTGTATTTGCATGTGGCCCACGGGCCGTAGTTTGAGGACCCCTGGTCTAGATATACTCAATTTAGCAATGGACTCTGATTGCACAGGATCCTGTTGGGTCCTATGGCCATCCTCAGAAGAATCACTCCTGTTGGAGGTGTGTGGGTGGTGGAGTGGGGGAATTGAGAACTCTAATCTGGCCTAGCATGAGTGATATGCCCAAGTCTGGGGAGGCGTGTGAGGAGCAAGGCAAAGTGACTGATGGCCCAGCTGGAACCACAAAGAATAGGGAAAGGGCTAGAGTGCTAAGCAGACAAACTATAGCTCTCCACTAAACACAGCCACCACTCATCACTCCTCTGTTGCATAGTCATGATACTATAAAACATGTACTATAAAACACTGTGAAATGGTGATGTACACTGTCTTCTGGGAAGGTAAACTGATGTGATACACTATGGAGAGGTGTGATACACTGTTGTAAGAGACACTGTTCACACACACACACACACACACACACACACACACACCAGAGAGCCCAGCTCTGTGTTTTAGTTGCTGCTCCCCCTTGCCTCCCAATATCTCATAACCACCAATTCTTAGATCTGTGCTCTTTTCCTTGAATTGTACCCGAGACTCCCTCCACACAGCCTGGCTATTTCCCTGCTGAGCATCTTCTTTCTTAAGTCATCCCCTGAAGCTGAGTAGCATTTGATACACTGTCTTTGAGTAAGATACAACACCGATCACACTTTCATAGCATTGAGCACTTAATGAGGGCTTGATGCGTGAATGGATGAAAACATTACTGAGAGGGCGAATAGAGCAAATAACTGAACTCATCTTCATAGTCAACAACCATTTATTAACACAGAAACGAATAAGGCTTGGCCCCTGTTCTCAGAATGCTTGATGCAAAGGGGCAGACAATCACAAAGCTGCGGTAGAATCACAGTAGAATAAGTACTATCACTGAGGTACAGACAAAGTACTTTGGAGGCACTGTGAAAGGGATACACAGGTGAGGGAGAAACAATTTTCCAACTTATACCTGCCTATAGCATTCAGGGGAGGCTCCAGAAACGTCACTGATGAGTCTCAAAGGAGTAGAAGCCACCAGGTGAACAGTGAAGGAAGGAGCCCTTACAGGCTGGGACACGGGGATGTAGTAGGTAAGGTCAAGTAAGTGAGGGGTTCAGGAAACCAGGCATGAATGATGGAAGAAGGGAAAAGAGAGTAAGGAATGAGTAGAACTGTTAAGCACAAACCCTAGCTCTACTGTGGAAATTTAAAGGTCTTGTTTCTCCATGGAGAGGGAAGGAGAGAGGAAGGTGGGAGGTTCTAAGGTATGGGTCCCTGTCACCCCTCAATGGCCATCAGGCTCAAACGTAAAGGCTAGAGCTTCACAGTTGTGATCTAATATCCATAAGCCACTAAATTGTCAAAAGCCCCCTTCAGAAGGGAATATTTTGTATGAATGCAGCTCTAAATGGGAGAGAGTCCCTACTATATTCATCTTTTCAGATGCTGTTGATTCTGCCTAAGAAATAGCTCTAGTTCCTTCAGGAAATCAGATGGCACGTGGAACCTGAAAAGAGAGGGTGGGCTAGGGTTGAGGCTTGCAGTGATCTCACAACTGAATTGTAAAATGATGATTATTAAAGTCTCTATTTTTTTTTTTACAAAATTCTATTTGTGTAACATAAAACTCAAAAAAATATATATTTACAAACCTTTTTGTCAAATTATTTCTGTCTCCTCCACTTCTTTCATACCCGTATGTATTTTAATATGCTTAAATTTTTGTAAAAAAACACAACCTTTTAAGCTTTTAATTTTAGGATTTTTCTATTTAAATATATTTCATTTTTTCATTTTCAATTTTTCTTTAAATGCTACTTTTAAAGGTTTTAAAATTTTACCCTTGCTTAAATAGTTTTTATTTAAATCCTTCAAATTCAACTTGTCTAAAGTTCTTTGTATACTTTTAAATCTTCTATTCTCTAATTTTCCTTTTTAGATTTTTTCAATTTAAAAATTTTGTATCTTTGTCGTGACTAATTCTGAACATTGCTTTTGTACTTTTCTCTAAACTTAAATTTCAATCTATACTTTTTGAAAATTTATTTCTTAATGCATTTTCATGAATCTTGCTAGCCTTTGATTCTAACTCACATATTTTATGCTCCAATTTTAAAAAATTTATTTTAAAATATTATTTCTTTAAAAAATTAAGTCTTGTTCTTTTTTAACTTTTTAATTTTAAAGCTGATTCTTTCACTAACTTTTTTGGTAAACTTTCATTTTTAATATTTTTCCTTGTTTTATTCATTTTACCTGTTTTATATTAAGAACTTTGAAAATGTTTTAAGCCTTATTTTAATAGTTTTGAAGTTTTAAATAAAAAACTTTAATTTTTAAAACATTTAAAAACATCTAACTTAGGAACTTCCAACATTTAAAAACATTTTTCTTTTAAAATAAAAAAATGTTTTTAAAGTGTTTTTCTTTTAAAGCTTTTCAGAATCTCTTTTAAAATATCCTTTCCCCCCAAACTATTTGGTCAGCCACAGCTGGAATACCAATGGTGAAGCTTTTTGCTGATGAATACTCCCTGATTTCCCACAGTATATTTTACAGAAATAAATGACATATAGTAGTTCTAGAACATTTCTATTCCCACTCTCCCCACCTAAAACATTCTTTTCATTTAACTATGCTTTATGTGACCATTTTCCACCACTCTTCCCTCCTCCCATTTAAGGCTGAATGGTCACCAGCTAGTATTCATTTTTCCCACAGGCCGTGGTAAAATACGTTCTTTACATCAAGGTGCTAATTGTCATATAGGTGCTGTTGTCATTGTTCCTTCCAGGAGGTTTTTGTGATATTTCAAGAGGTGCTCATTGTTGTATAGGTATTGTCATCGTCCATTTCAGGTAGGATCCTTGCCTATTTCTTTAACTTTGTTCTGGTAAGTGGCCTGATAGACTAGTCTTTCTCTAGACCCTGTTTGTGATAGAACAGTAAATACCCTTCACTGTAGAGTAAGTCCTCAATGGTAGCCTTGGTGATGACAGCATCATCACAGCTGAACCACTGGTCCTTTTGTTGCCGGATGAAGCTGGTGTAGTGTCCACTTTCCAAAGTTCCATGGTGATTAATCACTGCAAACAAGGAATACTTATTCTCGTTGGGCGCACAGTCTGTTGGTGGTTGGCCATCTTTCATTCTGCTCTCTTTAGTGGAGGCCAAAAATGGAGTCATGTCCAGCTCCAAGGGAAAGGAGATAAAAGTATTAATCTTTCGTCTCTGTTTGCCTAAATGTTCAAACCGCTTTAGATGAAAACAGGCCACAATGGGTAATTTCTTCATTGTGAGCTGTTTGGTAGATTCCTGGTAGCTTTGGCAACTACTACATTTAATTTTGGAACCGCTTCCTAAGTGCTCTGGCCTTGTAAACCACTGTAGGCAGTCTGTGAGTGAGGGGATGCCTGGTATGTGGTCATTCCTACTCACTGCGCCGTCAGCCCTCTCTGTACTCTGTGAATTGAATGTAGCACAAGAGCTAGGCAAGTCCAAACTGATGTCCCAGCACGGGTCTATTGTGGTAGAGACGCTATGGCAAGTTTGACATGTGACATCTGACTGCAGGCCACCTGTAAAAATTTGGTCTATAATGCAGTTACAGCAGTTGAAGTTATTGGCTTCTTGCCCAACACTATCATCTTTGCTGTGTCTATGCAGCACATCTAATATCGCAATAAGGAACTCATGGGCATCCTGCTGCCTGTACCCTGCTAAGTGTTCTGCATGAATCCATATCAGGTGCAGTAACTTATAGGGAATGTGAGGAGTCCGGCTCCCAGAGTACATTGCGTGAAAAAGCGAAGACATCTCACAAACAAGACATAAGCTGGGGCTCGTCATAATACATTTGTGCTTGTCAGAGAGGAAGAAATCTTTCAGTAGAGGAATATGGGTAAGTGCCTGGACAATGCAATTCATAAAGCAGGTGTTCCCAAGATTGATTAGCCCTCTCAGGCCTACAGTATAGACTGACTTTTTTCTCCTCTTTTTCTTGGGTTTCACCAATTTTGGCTCCTGTTCCTTTGACTCACAGCTTGATCGCTTCTCTTCAACACCTGACTCCATACACTGCTGCTGAGAAACATCTGTTGAGGTGGAAGTTATTAACTTCAAAAGTTTCTCTTTTGTCTCTTTGGCAATCTGTTCTATGTCTTTGTCATATACATAATCCTTACACATAAAGCAGTATATAACCCCATGATAGAGGTCTACAGCTAAATTGTGCTCTTTTGTTTCTGCATGTTTATGAATGTGTTTTTCAGTAAAGCACCCGAAAAAGACACAAGAGAGACAAGAGTGGAGTCTGTTCATATGGGTGCTACATACGTGACAGATGCACGACTTTGCCTTACGCTTCCTCGTCTCTGGGGTCCCACTCCACACGAAACGCTGGTAGATCAACCGGAGGTTCTTCTGCCAGTTCTTTGCTACTTTAAAGCTTTCCACGTGAGAGCAGCCTGTGGGACCCTGATCAAACTCCACCTCCAGCAGCCAGTCCCCAAAGCCACCTCGTTCCCCAGAGCTGCCTAAGTCACCGAGACTGCTCTGCCGCACCTGGGGCCTGGACGCTGCCGGGCGGGATCTGCGGCTGGGTCTGCGCCAGGGCCGGGGTCGGGGA